AGTCACTCACTAACAGGCGAATCACACCGCTTGCCTTCGCTCACACAGCATATGTAATTGAGGCATTTTTCCATAGAAAATGTACGCTCAGTCATTCAAAACAAGGATTGGGTACCATCACGGAAGAGTAAACGTGCTGACTGAGCTACTGACTGAGTGCTCGGCTGTCAGTGACTCGTTTACTTCCCAATCCTTCAGACTCTCACGAGGCAGTGAATGATGCGGCCGATGGCAGTTCATATTCATATGAAAATGACTCATTGAACCTGACTGTTTTGCGAACTGCCACAGCAATGCTAGCGGATAGAAGGACTCCTCTCCTACATAATCATTTGGGTGCTTTGCTTGGGCGTGTTGTCATTCTCGAGAAATTTGCGTAAAAAGGCCATTGTTTACGTTTGCAACTTAGATGTTGAGCATTTCCACACCAACTGACAAATCGTTCAGTTCTTCGGTTTCCATGAAACTATGGATAATTCGCCATAAGGGCGAAACTGCGTTTGTAAACAATTGCGTTAGCCATTGACTCCTCGCGAATATTTTTTATTTTCAAAATGGTACTCATATAATTGACAATAATAGTAGAAGATAAACTTTTACTCAAATTTCTGAGCTTTTCTTTTTGCTCTAAATTTGGTTTATTGCTGAAAACGAAGTCTAAATGATTGTTTTCATTGCAAATATTACAAAAAATTTGAACTGAACAAAATTTTCTACAATTCTTGTGTTTACAATTGAGCAGCTCCAGGCCAAACAAAATAAATAAACAAATTTTAGATTTTACCTCTCGGAATTCCACGAAACATAGCATAATTGTTTACCCGGTTTGTGCTGGAATTCGGCCATTTTGACTGTCACCTTATTATTCAAAATGGTGAAGTCGATATTTTTATTAAATCATAGCACGAAAACGGTTCATCTAATCGGAATGACTTTTCCGAAATGGACACTTAAAAATTGACCAAACTCTTAGAACATCAACTTTTAGTACAAATTTTGATAGAAGTTTTTAGCATTTTTAATATGCTTTCAAATAAAAAATAATTAAAAAAAGATTAATTTTAGATTTTTTTAACAGTTTATATATTTTCCGGGACGGGAGTAGGGGAAGGAGGTGCATAGTGAGCTTCTGGTCTGTCACGATTATGGTGACTCATTGGTTTTTTTTTTGCGTATTTGATTGGATATTCGCCACTAAAGTTGGCTATTCGGTTGGTTATCGTTATTTACGTGACTCTCAACCATTCGGCTTGGAAACTGAAGCTCATTTATTTGATTAAAAGTATCGATTATTGATCATATTACAAGCATTAGGAATCAGCCATTCGTTTCAATAAAAATATATTAGGTCAAGTTGTTAGTTAATTTTAATGTTGGCAAAAGCAAACTTTTGTACATATTTAGGGGCATAGTGAGCTTCCTGTGCTTTAGCCTTGGATTTCTTATGGTTCGAATCAAATTAATTGGTCAATAGTCATTGCAATGGTGAACCTATTACCAATTAATATGTTTCGAACAATTAGAGATTTGGAACTGGAGTGTGGGATTAGACTGGCCCACAAAAATAAAAGTTCTAATTTTCCATGGGCCAACCCCTAGATTTGAGCCTTGAGGTGTGAAAACCATTAACCTGTTTACTCTGCCCCTCTTACCCCTAGGTACTCGAGCAAAGTCTAATTGAAAACTAAATTTGATGTTGTGTCAGGGCTAGCAAATGTCATTTTCAATAAAAGATCTCACGCTATATTTACAGAGATACTTCTGTCACTATCATCGGATGAGAAAACGTGACAGTGTTGTGATCATCGTAATTACTAGCTCATTTATTGCTTTCAAAGTTACTTGTACCGAGAAAATCGTAATTATATATTCTATTCAAGACTTCTCTGTTAAATCAGGATTGTATTGCATTATCCCATGCCGCTTTGGTTCAATTTTATGATTTTTGTTGCTGGAAGTCATTTTCTTAATGAATATTTTATTCTTAAATCGAAAATGTACGCATTGCTTATAATGAATCTCAATGTTCTGCTAGTATATACAGAGGAATTTTGTTAACCATTCATGTTTCAGCCTAAAAACTTAAGTAATTGTACGAAAAGTAATAAGAAGAATAAGACGATAGAATTTGGTAGTGGTAATTTGATGAACCAACATACTGATTACATTGACAGAAATACATGAACAGATTTAACTCCTTCCTCCAAGTCCGAAAAGCCTGGCTGTCTGAATAGATTAAAATTACTAATAAAGATAAGTGGATGAGACTTATTGAAGATATGTCCATAAATCACGTCAGCAAATCAAAAGTAAAAAAAAATTCCTAGCGTAGTAAAATTTAGTAGGTCACTTTTTGGCATAATCGTTCGCGTGATTTATGAACAGTTTCTTCAGAAATCAGAAAGTGAGCAAATCCACGCCAACTGACGAATCGATTTGATTTTACCCTCTCCGAATTCCATGAAACTTCGCAGAATTGTTCACTAGGGGCAATGAACCATGTTTGTGCTGACACTCGTTTATTTAGACTATCGCCTAATTTTTCAAAATGGCGTATTCTATATTTTTCAAAACATCATAGCAGCAAAGTGGCTCATCTAATCAAAATGATGTCTGAAACAAAATGGTAGGAAACTGGATTGCGCTTTCAGAAGAAAAAAATCACAACTTCAATAAAAACATAAGCAAATTTTAAAGATTTCTAAACTTCTGTTTCTTAAAAAGCTCATAAAAATGCTAACTTTTCTTATATTGGAAACAATGGACAATTAAAAATTGACCTAAACATATAAGAACGTCAAGGTTTAGTGGAAATTTGTTTTTCGCAAATAATTTGTAGAAAACATTTTTTTTTTGTCCAGAAAATCGTTTCCTATGCTCAAATTACATAAATCTTGCGTGCCAAAAACGTTCAAAAATTCTACTAAAAGTTGATGTACTACGATTTTAATCAATTTTAAAATGTCCATTTTGTCCAACATCAGAAAAGTTAGCATTTTTGTTAAGCTTTCAAAATTAAGTTTTAAAAACATTAAAAATGCGGTTTTTTTGTTATTGAATTTTTTAATTTTTTTTTAATTTTACAAAAATACGTGATTTTTTTTTCTGAAAAAGGCATTTCAGTTTCCTACAACTTGATCTCAGACGCTATTTCGTTTAATGAGCCGTTTTCGTGCTATGGTTTATTGAAAAATGACAAATACGCCATTTTGAAAAATTAGACGATAGTCAAAATGGCCGAATTCCAGCTCAAACTTGCTCCATTGCTCCTAGCCGAACAATTATGCGAAGTTTCATGGAATTTTCTGAGCGGTAAAATCTGAAATTACCTTAATTTGTTCGCTATTTGGCGCGGATTTGCTCAAGTACGCGGTTGCCTTATGATCGTGGTGTAAGATGATCTCACTAAATTAAGGCACCAGTGCACGTGGGTCATTTTTCAAAAAGCAGATTTTACGTACAAAATCAAGCTGACGTTTATGCAGATGAATTCACTGTGTTGGGCTGTACAAGCGGAACACGGTGAATTTGTTTTCATGGTTATCAATAAGATAGTAAATAGGTCCAAACGAGAATTGCTTTTGAATTTTCAAGTGAAGGATATGCCAATATTGGTAGATGATTTTTTTTTTAATTTAAGAGGTTATAAACGGCTGTTCATTGTTCCGACTCTCCTCTAGGCGGATGACGATCGTTTTGCCTCCAGTAATCTTTAAACTGACATTCTTGTTCAAAATGGCTAATTACCAAAGAGAAGGGACAGCGAAGCTTCCGTTCTCTGAATACATTTGTTATTCAACAATGTTCGACAAAAGCAGACGCCATCGAGAAACGTTTGCTTCCGGATCGAATTGTGCCAATCATAGAGGCGCAGTTTGACCCAAAAAGGATAAAAAATGACCCGGAATATGTGCACATAGTCACATGTTTTGATCACGCATTACTAGGTAGGTACATGCTGCGGTGGGGTAAGAGTAGGAATCCTGACGCTTCAAAGCGGTTTGAGCTAGGTGAGGTGGAACTGCCTTAGACAAAGCGGTTATTATCGATTCCACGGGTTCACTTGTTTGCTGAAGTCGCATTGCTTCGGTTTGTTCTATTTTTTGAATTTTTTAGGCCGTATTGGTCTGATTTTAGAACTCCAATAACAGTCAATTTGCATTAATCTATAAAATGGCATTTTACGCTTGTCTCGATTTCGAAACAGATTTTCTGCAGGACTATAAATATGGAAAATGTAGGGTATTTCAGTGTAGAAGATTCGAACAAAGATCTAAAATTAAAGCAGCTCCAATTGATGATATGGATGACCTACATTTAAAGTACTCGATTTCATATTCCTTATTAAAGAGTCGATAATGATAGTTGCTAGCCGGACGCCATTTCAACGTTCTCCCGTTCCCAGAAGCATGCAATTTTTAACTCACCTTATGCCTGGACGATTTCTGTGATTCGTACTTTTTAAAGTTCAATTTGAAATTAAACCACTTATCGTTAGTACATTTTCCTAGGGATTTTTCTCTCTTTATTATAAACTAATATAGGGGCTTTCAGCCACTGGCTGGCTCACGTCTTTAAGAAGGAGAGGGCTTTAAATGAATCTGCATTTCTTGATGAGCATTTCTTGATGAGCATGTAGTCACTGCCACCACGTTGCTCCTCTCAAAGAAACCTAGATGTTAAGTCACAGTCGTAGATTACTGTGTAACTCTCCTTCCGCGCACGAGATTAAGAACTTCTGATGAGAGAGTCACGTGCTCAATCTGTTATTTCTAACCATAATTTGCGTCCAGACCAGCATCAATTTTCTCTCCTACAGATCTACTTTCAGCTATTCATCCCCTCACCACTTTGCCGACGCTACCAGAAAATGCACACTTCCGGACCAGCCGCGATTGAATTAACTCATAGCTCAAAAAATTGAACTAACATGATTCGGAAAAAAACTCCATATTACACAAATCACTTACCCCCCGATTATTTCGATTCTCCCATTACAGCATCCCTCATCGAATCGGACATGTTCATGGACGCACTGTCTGCCACGCTGAAAAAGGATGTGAAAAAGCGCAAGCGAAAACTGAGCGGTTCCGAGCCGGGTAAAGTGGGTGATCATAAAGCTGGTACCGCACCCAGCACCCCTACCACCCCCACTACCCCTACGCCGGAGAAATCGCTCGTCGCTGCCAAGGCAGCCTCACCGGAAAAGACCATCCTACTTTCACCGCCGACGAGCCCAACGCGGGAGGACAAAGAACCCGCCACTTCAACCACCGCAGCCGTCGGTCCTAGCTCCCCGGTCTCATCAGGGCCTGCCTCCCCGACGAATGTAGTGGCCGCACCGATGTCGTTCTACCGAGATACGCTTGCCGATAGCGAAGAAACTGCCGAGGACAAAAAAGAACAGCCGGAGAAAAGCGAACCGGCGGATGCACCGGTGGCAGCCGAGCCCGAAAGCGCTGTCGAAACGAAACCCGAGGAAATCCCCGATACTCCGGCCGAACCGGACGACGAAGATGAAGATGTGGTGAAGAAGCCGAAACGTCTAAAATCCGAGGTAATCGAGGACGACGACGCAGACGACCGGAACGATCTGATCGATGCCGTTGGCGATGATGTAGCCAAGAAGATGGAAGCGGAAGTGCCGGAGAAGAAACTGCCCGGTCCCGGCTGCGGTCCGGATGGTCCACCGGGTGTATTAGTTATCCATCGACGCAAGGGACCGAAGAAGCAATTGAAGTGGAAGGCCCAAGAAGACCTCGAAGAAGTGCGATACTTCGAACTGGATGTTACCGAACGATGCAACGTGACGAGGACGTTCACAGATCTCAAACATTTGGAACGGGTGGACGAACGAAATAAGTACATGCTTGCTCGCAAGGTGGACGCCGAAGACATGATGGTGGAACGAACGGCCTGGTTGCCACTGATTGCCATCGATAACGTTCCGCCTCACCCCGAAGGTGTCAACAGCCAGGAGCGGCGAATCCAGCAGAATCGCGAGCGAACCATCCTGCAGGCATTGTACTTCAACCGACACATGATTCCGGACTCGCCTGCCGAACCGGACGTCGATGTTTACTCCATCTCCGAACCGATGCATATTCCCATGGATGACGTGACCGGAAATCCGGACTCTATCAACGATTTCACCAGCATGCCTTGGCCGGAACCGAAGTCTACTCCACCGCATGAATCGGCCGGCTTCAACTCGCCGTTCTTCACCGGATCGGCAAACGACTTCCCACCGTTCGGAAATACCAGCAACTGGGAACTGCCCGGTGCGAATAACGGTCCACTGCCAGGAATGTTCCCACCCGGTAGAATGGGTCCGATAATGCCACCGATGGGTGGAAACAATGGACCTCCTCCCGGGGCTCCTCCTATGATGCGTCAGATGAACATGCCCTCCAATATGCCTCATAATATGCCACCAAACATGGGAGCACCCCATCCGAACATGTTTCAGAATAACTTCGTTCGGGGGCCTCACCCGATGCAGCAGCACATGAACGATCGGGACGACGAAACCTTCCGGAACGGTCCTCCACCGCCACCTGCCTGGTTCGGTGGCAACAGTAGAGAGGGAAACAACCGTGGCCCTCCACCTCACCAAGGAAACTTCAACAACCGCGGGGGTGGTGGTCGAGGAGGCGGTGGCAACTGGAACAACAACCGTGATCACGATCGAGGTGGTCCACGAGGTAGCAACTATCGGCCTCCGTGGTTGAACAACAATCGTGGCAATCAAAACAACCACCGAGGAGGTGGAGGTGGTCGAAAATGGTAAAACTAATCCAGGTGATAATGTACATAGTATTGTGTAGGAAAAAATGAACTAGTGAGCTTGTTTTAAAGCCAATATCTTACTCTAGACTGGTAATAAGACACATCGTCGACCAAAACTGAATGGCAGGATTCGATTCGATAGCATTTTGATTATTCTTTTACGATTAAGTCTGAAAAGCTACTTGTGTAGACCTAGAAGGTACAAATTAGTTACGCAAGCCTGATTAGTTAATGATTTGATCTTTAATTATAACTATGGATTAATTTGATGATTGAACGAGTGGCAGGAGTTATTCATTAGGTGAGTAAAGAATAAATCGAACGGAATTATGAATTGGTTGTGTCGTGTTTGTTAAAAATATAAGTATTGACGTTTTCTTAAAAATATAAGCAATTTGTTTTGTTTTGCGTTGAAAGAAATTTCTGAAGTATGAACTAAATCCATCGTGTATCGGCAACTGGCTCTTCAAGGGTAATTTATTTGTATCTAGTTCGTTTATTTGGAAGGCTCAATCCCGTTAGCTTTACGGAGCCGATAGTTCATATGTTTTGTAAGAGAAAATACAAAAATCTCGGTAACATTTATTTATAAATTATCTTCCTGGCTTTTGCCTTTTCCCGTTCGTGCAGCTCTTTTTTTTGTCCTCCTCTTCCTGCTTCTTTCGCATTTCCAAATCTATCTTGTAGTAGACGTTTTCCATCCCGGTAACTGAATTGCTTATTATGGGGTTCGTTTTGGCTAGTTTTCTCTTTATTTGTGTCAGCCACCGAGGTCGTCATGGGAATTTGTACCTTGTCCTCTTCCTTGAATCTTTTCACTTACGGTGAAGTGATTCTTATTTGGTTTACCCGGGAATCACTTCACTTCGTTTTCACTGTTTATTTGTTTATTTATTTGTTTATTTATTTGTTTATTTGTTATGGTTGCATCAACAGACTAGAAATAGTCCCAATGATGTGTTGTAAAAAAAGTACAGATTATACAGACGACATACATATACTACAGTTACTACAGTTACAAACGAAAATAACTAGGAAAGCATTGTCAAGTTACTAAAAATTTATAAGTCTTAAATTTTACACTTAGCTGTTGGGCATCAAGCGCCTTCGATCAGCAAAAAAGGCAGAGAATCTTCGGCGAAGCATATTCCGTGTCTAGTGGAAATCGAACATCGACGCTACTCGGTTGAACACTAGCTGCAAGCCGTAAATAGCGCTCCCTATGCTATAATTAGTTCGAAGAAGTGGAAGTCTCAGCATAAGACTGTTGCGTAGTGATCGAGGTTGAACATTAATGTTCACTTGTTGCAGAATTGCTTCGCAGTCAATTCTTCCTTGCAGAGTATCGGCGACAGTTAAGGCTCTGAAAACATCTCTTCGGATACGTAAGGGCTCGATATTGCGATTCTCGTAGCTTGGAAGACAAAGTGGGTATCTCCAAGGCAGCTTACGGAGCGCGAAGCGAAGAAAACGTCGTTGCACAGATTCAATTCGCTCGGCCCCATTATTGTAGTTCGGGCTCCAGACAGCAGAGCAGTATTCCAACGTAGATCGTACCAGAGAGCAATAGAGCGATTTCAAGCAGTAAATGTCCGTGAAGTTCTTAGTAATCTTGAAGACAAAGCCAAGCGTTATGGACGCTTTGTCGATGACATACGATATATGGTGTGAGTATGTCAGCTTTGAGTCTAGAAAAACGCCTAAGTCTTTCACGCAGTGCACCCGTTCGATAGTCGTGCCTAGTAGTTGAAAATAATCGGTTGTTTCTTGCGTGAGAAAGTAATAACTGTACACTTAACTGGGTTGACCACCAGTCGGTTTAGACTACACCAGTCAGCAAAGATATCAATCTGATTTTGGAGAGAACGGCAGTCGGCGAGTGATCGGATGCGCAGAAAAACTTTCAGATCGTCTGTAAACGATAATCGTGGCTCTGTGATAACATGGTGAACGTCGTCGAAGTAGAGGAGAAATACCAATGGTCCCAGATGGCTACCCTGAGGTATACCGGACTTTGCGCAGAAGCTTGCTGAGCGACAAGTACCCAAAGTTACTGTCAATTGGCGCTCCGTGAGGTATGAACGAAACCATCTCAAAAGATTTCCACCGATCCCTAGCCTATCAAGCTTAGCGATCGCAATTTCGTGGTTCAGCTTATCGAAGGCTGCTGTAAGATCTGTGTAGATAACGTCCGTTTGGGTACGAGCAATCAAACTGTCTGTGATGTAAGACGTTAGGCACAGCAGGTTCGTAGTTGTGGAACGCCCAGTTATGAATCCGTGTTGATCTGTACTTAGATATTGCTTGCAATGCGCATTTAGGGACTCTATGACAACCAATTCAAAAAGTTTTGATACAGCACTCAGCGACGTGATTTCCCCGTAGTTGTTTACATCGCGTTTGCTTCCCTTTTTATGAACAGGAAACATATCCGCAGTCTTCCAGCAAGACGGAAAGATGCCGCTGGAAAGAGAGAGCTGGAATATGCGGTGCAGTGGATCTAAAAGACAAGTGATGTTCTTTTTAAGAATAATCGATGGAACACCATCGGGTCCAGCCTTAGTTGAAGTCTTAAGTTTAGATGCTGCTCTAGAAATCGTATCTGTAGTGGCTTCGACCATGCTGAGCGTTTGGTTGATCAAAGGAACATTACTGGTCGCGGAAGTAATGATATTAGCGGAGAGTTCCTCGGCTTCAAACACACTAGCAAATTTGGCTGAGAACAGGTTGCAAATGTCTTGTTGATTTCCAGCAGTTGCACCATTAAAAATCATGGAAGAGGGTAAGCCGACTTCCCTGCGTTGCTCAGTGTGTTTCACGTTGCGGGTGTGATTTTAGCCGCCGTTGAATCTTCCTTCGGTAGCGTTGAAAACAGGGACGACTTAACCGCTTATACTCGTGGTTGAGTCTGACATAGTAGCATTTCAGCGGCAGTGTGCGGAGTTTAGTAAATCTTCTGAGAGCAGCCTTCTTAGTTCTTTTCAACGAGCGAAGATCTTTCGTCATCCACGGGACGCGAGAGTCGATATGGATGATCTTTTTGGAAACGTGTCTGTCAATGACATATGCCAAGACGTGAGAAAAGGTTTGTGCAGCAATGTTGACGTCTACAGGATCTAGAATATGCCCCCAATCTAGGTTAGACAGCACATGGACGATACTGCGATGGTCAGCTCTACGGAAGTCATATGACACAGCGTTTGGAGCGCTGGTGAAATCATGGACAATATTATTTTCGATCACGATAACTAAAGCAGGGTGAGGATGCACTACCTTGACTAAAGGTTCGGGTGCCGTGGAGAGGAAAGGAGCTGTATCACGAGCACTTACAAAGCAGAGATCCAGGGTGCGGTTGTTTTCATTCAACAGGCCATTGATTTGTGACAGAATTGCGGTACTATAACTGTCCAGGAGCTGGATGATTCCTACGTGGAAAGATGAACGCTCGTGATCAGGACAAAAGAAACCACTATGAGTTGGAGTCCATGCAATGACCGGTAGGTTAAAATCACCAAGAACAATAACTTCATCGGAAGGGCCTGCTTTGTCTGAAGCGGCCAAGACGGATCGACAATGTGCGTTAATAAGCTCCAAGTCACGGGTTCGATCTGGAGGAATGTACACTGCACAGAGAAGCAATTGACGATTTACCTGTGAAGTGACACCCGTAATAAGCGTCCATTTTCCTCAAGCATCTCCTCGCTTTCCTGATGGTTATCGCTGTTGTCCGATGATGACGCACCTCCAGTTATTACGCCTGCGTACGCCCTGTTATTTGTCCTGTTGTTGCTTCTCTGGCTGCTACCGAGCCTTCCGATTAGGACAGGAAACCATCCGAGGCCCTTCCGTCTGACAGAGGAAGCATTTATCCTTATTACCATCATTGAATATGTCCCCCTTCCATGTTAACACCACGTACACCTGTGTACGTATCGAAGCATAGCTCAGCTGAAAATTTACCTGGATAACACGCTTCCCTTTCCCATATTTCCTCAGTACTAACGCTAGCCAGTTTCGCCACATTTTTTTAAATCTGTATCTGGCTGATAAAAAACTGTTCAAGTTCATTCAAAGTTTAGAATCTTGAAAAGTGAAATTTGCTTTCTAAAGAATTTCACCCATATTTTTGCTTTCGTTAAAAATGTGTATAGTTCGAACGGTTCGAACGAAGACAAGAATATGTGTGTTTATCTGTTTAAAAGATCTCGAATTCTAGGAATCTTGATTCTAAGCGATTTGTATCTTTTCTACAAGTCTAATACCAACAATCAATACGAAACTACCCAACTAACAATTTTCGCAATGTAAACGCTTTACTCATTTCATTTCTACAGCTTCAAGCTGTATTCAAACGTTATCCGATATGAAGAAATCTTTACTCAATCTATATATAAGCCAATCTGGCGAACTTAGTCAGCTACTTATGGCTGTTGGAACGGTTGGAATAAGCTCTTATTGCACTTCCACTTACGCTTATAAAAAGCTGTTATCCACGATTATCCAATAATCACTACACAACTTTCTCTTGATACCAGGTTAAATATTGTTTACGCTTTTTTTGTTGTTGGAGGAATTTATCATGTTTATTTTACTGCAAATCAAATTAATCGAAATTAGTTATAAGCACACCACAAAATTATTTACACTGTACTGGAACCTAGAATCGATCTCGAGACGACCGCATGGCGAACCTTGATACTTCCAACTTCACAACGCCAACCTTGAAAGTTTGACAGTTGTTGGTTCTAACTAGTTTTCAATCCGACAAGTAGGCTTACTCAGATCGGGCTTTTCCGCTGTCGCTGCCGTTTCGCTTCCGCTGTCATTGCGCTTGAGCCTTTTAGGATGCGGAGGGTCCGCTTAGGGAGGCAACTAGCCTTTAAAGCAACTGGCAACTAGCCTTTTCATGTATTGTCTGTTTAAATTTGGTATTAATCAATTTGGTATATATATGAAAGGATGAATCAGTGGGAGATGGATTTTCGGTTTCTTTACATTTAGCGTCACAAATCACTATGTGTCATTTCCTCAAAACCCCCCATAACCGACCTCTTCAATCACTTCCTTTTCCCATGGCGTTCAAGTGGTCCGCATAGACTATTCAGCCATTTCCCGTCCTTTATCCTCGGCTTTGGATTGACTTGCGCTCCCATTGCCCCACCAAACGCTGCAAAATGAAAATAAAATGAAAATGAAATAATAAAGGTTTCTGATTTTTATATTTTTAAGTAAAAAAATGTAAATAAATG